TCGGGGCAGCACAATTTCACACATACACCATGGCCACAGCCGACAGGAAGTAGCGCATGCGCAGGGCCTATTGAAGCACGGGGCACGAGCAACCGCCCCGCTCAACCTGCCCTATATCTGCCACTGCCTATTAATTTCATTTGGTGACCCTTAGTTTTTATGTTATGGGAACATGTAAATATCTCTTCATTATTTGCTTTTTCCTTACCAGGCATAATTGTATAGACGTCTGTCATTTAGTTGTCTCTTTTCCAGCTGAATAGTTCTAGTCTTATTCATCTTTCCTCATATGTCAGCTGTTCCATATCCCTAATAATTTTTGTTACCAAAATATATTTTTTGTGATGAGGCAACCACATATCAGAGAAACAGAACAAGAGAGATATACAGGAAAGAGAAAGAGAAACATTGTTGGTCCAAAAGACACTGGATGTGATAAGGAACTGAATGAGTAATCAAAAGTTATAACTAAGGGTATGTCTACACTATCCCCCTAGTTCGAACTAGGAAGGCTAATGTAGGCATTCGAAGTTGCAAATGAAGCCCGGGATTTAAATATCCTGGGCTTCATTTGCATCTTCCCGGGCGCCGCCATTTTTAAATGTCCCTTAGTCCGAACTCCGTGCCCACGGCTACACGTGGCACGGAGTAGGTAGTTCGAATTAGGATCTCTAATTCAAACTACCGTTACTTCTCATGGAATGAGATTTACCAGTAGTTCGAATTAGAGATCCTAATTTGAACTACTTACTCCGTGCTGCGTGTAGCCGCGGGCACGGAGTTCGGACTAAGGGATATTTAAAAATGGCGGCGCCCGGGAAGAGGCAAACGAAGCCCTGGATATTTAAATCCCGGGTTTCATTTGCAACTTCGAATGCCTACATTAGCCTCCCTAGTTCGAACTAGGGGGCTAGTATATACATACCCTAACAGTTTAGTTACAAAAAAGTAAGCATAGGTCCTACCCTTGTTCTTTGTGCAAATATGCCCTTACCATTATCAGGAGATCAATGACGGCTTGATGGGAAGATGGAGTCCTAAATATATGAACATTGTCCACTGATCATACATAGTAACATAGAATTTGTCCTGGCTCAGTAAGGTCAGGATACTGATTCAGGCTTTGAGAACTTCCAAAAGCAAGTAATAATAAAATGAAAACTGGAAACTTTACTTTTATGTTTTTCCATATTCCAACTTACTAAAGAAGCAAATGATGACTGTTTACAAGGAATTGTACTTTTTTTTAGAAATTTGCTCCACACAAATTACCACATTAAAAGGCAAAATCCCATGGCCAACCATAGCATGTAAGTAGCATACAATCTTAGGTACATTTTGGAAATCTCATTTACATTTCATATCAGTTTTCCACTACTTACTTTGGACCAAATATAAAGGAAGTTTTCTCTGAGTAAAGATGAAGGCAAGATCAACCTCAAGATTGACCTAGGATTTAATGTATGATTCTGGTCTCAAATGTAAGTAGGACTGACATTTGTCTGATTTGGTTTCTTTTTTCTTATTTAACCTAGAACACTGCACACCTGTTCTTATTACATTAAATAAATGTTTTGCATTTGCTTCAAGGGGCGGAGGACAAAGAACTGAAACAGAATATAATTGCCTTCTCATTTGGGTTCCGCCATTCCTTCCACAATGAATCATCTGTGTGGTGATTTGTCAAGGCACTGACAAAGGGATTTGAACCTTAAAGTGGTGGCAGTAGTTTAGCTAAATTATACTAAGCATATTGATTTATGCCTCAGTCTGAAATCCTTGGGACCTCTTGAACCTGCTTTTGAAAGCTCAGCTGTATACAATGCATTAGATGCCAAAGAAAAATCAAATGTTGCACTTGTTCATGGGTCTAAGTGAATTACAAAATTTATATATATATATTTTGTTCCTTTAACATCAATCCAAGCTCTAAATAGGCAGAATTTTCCAGACAAATGACTGAAGCCAGAAGTTTACTGTGAGAAAATAACTTCCTCATATATGTATCTACACAGACATCTATATGCTAAGTCATGCACAGGTGTGTGAAAATGAGCTTAACATACTAAGAGTTATCCTAGAAATTGGTCTTCTAAACATCATTTGATGAAGATACATGGAAAATGTTGAAGGACACAAGGGCAAATTAGTCATCCAGCTCTTACAAAATCAATGTGAAACTCTTATGTACGTATTGTATCAGATAAATAAGACTAGAGAGAAAATGAAACTATTATGAGTGTATCATATCTACTATTTTGATGATCTTTTTTTGTGTGCAGTTTCACCAGTTTTGGATAGGTCTCTTTATCCCATATTTATATGTGTGTGCATGCTTAATTTTCTTTATCTTATGTTCTTTTTGTGCTTATCTTCTGGATTATCATTGTCCTCTCTTCTTATATCATTGTGGTGCCTGGTCTTGGTCACAGCAGTGAATGTCAAATTAAGGACAGACAGATGAAAACTAGGGAAGTCACCACCCAAAAGGGTGGCTACTATAACATTAGAGTTCACCTAGTAACAAAAGTGACCTCCTTGATCATCACATTGGTTAACAAGAAGCCAAAATACAATCTTCTTAGGCAATTCAGCCTCTAACATGACTCAGATATTCAGTCTTTATGAGGAGAGGTTACTGAAAACCAGATGCATCATATATAAAATTCTTCTAATCCCAAAGGATTAGTCACTTCGCCCGGTCAATATATAATTCAGGTTTTACCCCAAAAATCACATCTGCAGACAATCCTTTAGTAACTGAAAACTAAAGGTTTATTAATCTAAAAGGAAAATAAGAGAATGGATTGGTTAAAGGAATAATATACATTAAAATTGATTTCTGAGTTTGCAGTTTCCTTGTCCCAAAAATAGACTTTTCAGCTAATAAAACATTAAGTATTTTGCTCCAGAAAGTTTTTCTTAAAAGCATCCTATTTAAAGTTCCCAAAGAAATCTGACTTTCCAAAATTACAATATTGATGCAGATAGTAAAGGCAAATTGCCTTGATTTATAAACTGCCTGTTCAGCTAGTGTTGATTCTGTGTACTGAAGAACTGTGATCAGTGATAGCTCTTAACAGAAAAATTCCTTTGTGTAAAGATGTTTCCAGCAAGAAGAATATCTTGTTAAACTCCCAAACATTTCTCCAGCTTTGGTAATGACTCACTGATGCATCTGGCATGAATTGAAGCACCTTTGAACCTTTTATGCACTGAGAATGTTGACACAGACTTCATAATTTCTGGAGATGAAGAGCTGAATACCATTCATTAGGAATCATGATGAAGAAGAGGAGATGCAGCTACCAGCAAAAATAGAAATTTACAAGCAACACATCAAATTCATCAGGCATAATGTATGCAAATGCAGTATGTGTCTCTGGAACTATAACATCTGAAAAAAAACTTGTTAATGTGACATATTTTGTCAAAAAGAATGATGGTAGCAGGTACTGGGTGGCTTAAGGAATTACATATGTGTTAGATATTATCAACTCTGTGTCACGAGTTCAAAACTATACCAGGCTCTGAGTTACTACCATTTAATGCCATCTTATGTTAAGTGCAGGTGCAAGTGCACTGGTTTTCCAAATATGGGTGGTGATCAGGTACTAGATTGAAGAATATAAGGAACTGGGTCTCTTGCAAATTTAAAATGTCATGATCTTTTAGAATGTCCTTTATTTGAGTTTTAAAATAACATCACAATCATTAAAATATTGTCTGTTTTATTTATTTCCGGTAAGACTATTTGTTTACAGGGAGTTTGTTAAACACTACGGCTGTGTCTACACTGGCATGAATTTCCGGAATTGCTTAAAACGGAATACTATTCCGTTTTCAATTTTTCCGGAAAAGGAGCGTCTACATTGGCAGGCTGCTTTTCCGGAAAAGCCCTTTTTCCGGAAAAGCGTCTGTGGCCAATGTAGACGCGCTTTTCCGGAAAAGAGCCCCGATTGCCCCTGTCTACACTGGCCCTTTTCCGGAACAGTGTTCCGGAATAAGGACTTATGCCCAAGCGGGAGCAGAATAGTTGTTCTGGAATAGCGGCTGATTTTGTACAGTAGAGCATCGTTGCTTTTCCGGAAATTCAAGTGCCAGTGTAGACAGCTCGCAGCTTATTCCGGAAAAGCGGCTGATTTTCTGGAATAAGTGGCCCAGTGTAGACACAGCCTACATGTGTACACAGCATAGCTGTTTTGAATGTAATCATCAAATGAGACTGCTTGCCTGAGGCTTAATCAACAAGCCTTATCCTAAAAAAGATGATTGTTTTATAATCATAAAAAGCAATTTAGAAACTATCATCAAATGTATCTACATCTGAAAATGAAGAGACAAATGTAAGCACATCACCTGCAACAGAAAGTTCTAGTTGACAGACTTCGGCAATGTCAACCTCTACTCGACAACTTACTAAATAGAAAACCAAACTATGGATGATGCAGTATAGTGATGCTTTTATCAGTCGTGCTAATGCAAGCCAAGATCCAGAGCTGCAATGTGTTATTTGCAGCCATGTGCTTGTAAACATGAGTTTAAAACCATCAAAGTTAAAAAAGACATCTACAAACAAAACATGGGGACCTTGTTGATAAGACTTTTTAAATATTTTCAAAGGAAGCAATGGGAATTAGTTTTCAGCATGAGTTCTTCATCAATCAAATACTTCAAATAAGGCACAACAATGATTTCATTGAAAATCAAGTGGTAAAGAGAAAATGGCCATACAATTGTTGAAAACATCCTTCAGGTATCTCTATATACAGTACATACAATTTTCAACATGATATCTACTGAAAAATTGAGAAGATTACCTCTACACTGCCTCATCCATAGTTTGGTTTTCTCTTTAATAAGTTGTCAAGTAGAGGTTGATATTGCCGAAGTCTGTCAACTAGAACTTTCTGTTGCAGGTGATGCACTTACATTTGTCTTTTCATTTTCAGATGTAGATACATTTGATGATGGTTTCTGAACTGCTTTTTATGATTCTAAAGCAATCATCTTTTTTAGGATAAGGCTTGTTTACCTTTAACAAAATTAATACTTTTCATTACTTCCTTCAGTTTACCTTTGTGTGTGTGTGTGTAAAAATCCCTCTGTATAACACAATATCTTGGTGAATATATGACATTACAGAGCGTTTGGAAGACTAGCTTTTATGTGGTTACAGTCAGTTGGGGATTTTGCTATCAATTTGACAAGAGTACTGACAGTTCAAATTATGCAACACTGTTAAGTTATGTAGGATATTTATGGCTGTTTGAGTTAACAAATAAATACAACAGGAGCACAGATAATTTAAGCACTGTGTATTGGAAAACACAAATTAGACTGATCTAATTACAAAGGAATTGTAGGTGTTGGTGTAGCAAATATGAGAGGTAGAAATAGCGGAGGTGTGAAAAAATATCTCAGGCTACCAGTAATTATGTTGTTTGGAATCACTGTTTCACTCACCATGAAACTCTTGGATGTGAAATCATTTACCCTGATCTTATGACAGAACTGAAGGAAGGAATAAAAATTATTAATATCATTAAAGGAAGCTCATTGAACAGCATGCTTTTTGAAGTGGAGCATAATCATTCCACAGTGAAGTACTGTGATTGTAATGGAGCAGGATTCTTACTAGGGTGTATGAATTCAGGAATGAGATTCACATTTTTCTGGCAAGAAACAGTCTAATTTGGAAAATTTGTTTGAAGATGATGGTTAATAAATTTGTCATATCTAGGTGACATTTTCTCAATTTTAAACAAACTGAATTTGAAGTTACAAAGAAGAGACACTGATTTGTTTCGACACAGTGAACAGATACAAGCATTCCAAAACTCATTAGCGCTGTGTAAGCACAACTGAAAAGTAATCATCCAAGCTACGTTTTCCCAACACTGTTCTGACACATTGAGGGGAAAAGCATCAGTGAAGAAAAAGTGAATGAAATGGGAGGTGTCACAAAGTTACATCTTGCTGCTTTGCCTGACCCTTTTAGTTGCTACAGATCAGTTTTAAAATTTGAAGGAAAAGCTTTGGGTGAAAGATCCTTTAGCTTTCAAAAATCCTGAATCAATAATGGAGCTAAACTTGATGCCCGAAGAAGAAAAAGCTGCTGCAACTCACTTTTGACAGCACACTCGAAGAAAGTACACCACAAGTCATTAAATTTGGCACAGGTTTGATACATGTTTTGAAAGAATATCCACTGTTAAGTAAGATTAATGATCTGTTGTTGCTATGGTTCATTATGACCTACATGTCAGAGTTTAAAATCTCAATTGGGACAGAAAGGAAAGGAAGCTCAACATCACTGCTTTCTGTTGGGATATCTTTGAAGGTAGTACTGCCATCAAAAACAATGGATGGGTAAGAGTGACATACCATACTTCTGTGCTGATGCTGGTGATGGCACATCCTTAAGAGCTGGGCGGTCAGAAAGTAGCAGCTGCTGGCTTGGCACTAGATGACTGAGGAGGTAAATTACTGCAGAAAAAGAAATAACTTTTTGAAATGCTGCTAGTGATGAATAATCACATTAGAAAAAAATACCCTAGCAGAAAGACAAAAGATTGAATGGGCTGTAAAATGGAACACAATGTCAAGAGTCTGGGTGACAAGACTGCACTTGCTATGGATAAACAGTGGAAAAAAAGTTTCCAGGATAATAATAATCAAAATATTGCTAGAGGTGACATTTTTCTTTTATCCAAAACCCTCTCAATCCCTGCAAACACTAACATGACTCAGACTTGTTATAAATAATTGTGTATACATTGATAAGATCTCTTCTTGCAGGTAACACAAATCCATGGGTCAAAATAAAAAAGGTTTATGACAGAAAAAGAGGCAAAACAACCCCCCTCCTCTCCACTCTGGGCACGTCTAGACTGCCCACGGCTTTCAAAAGAAGATATGCAAATCCGCCGCAAATTTGCATATCTTCTTCCAATCCCATTTTCGGAAGAGTTTTCTTGAAAAAAAGCAGTCTAGACACAGTTCTTTTGAAAACAAAATCCTTTTTTGAAAGAACCCTGTACACCTCATGTTAGTCACTTCCCACCCACCCCTGTGTTATGTTATTTGTTATGTGAAAATACCATACTTTTATAGATTCCAAGGTCAGAAGGAACCACTGATCATCTAGTGCAGGGGAGGAGAACATAAGGTCTGGGAGCCGGATGAGGCCTCTGTGTTGCCTGGATCTGGACCCCGAGGTTTAGGGACTCCCTCAGCATTGGGGAACCCGTGCTGATGCTCCAGCCCCACTGCTGCCTCTCTGCAGCCCCTGACTGCAAATTATTTTTCTATGGTTTAGTGGCCCCAGATTCAAAAAAGGTTCCTTACCCCTGATCTAGTGTAACCTCCCGTATAATTCAGTAAAGAAAATTTCCCCAGAACAGTTCCTTTTGAACTACAGTACTAGCCTTGTTATCCGGCACTTTATTATCCAGAAAACGTGGTTAACTAGGATCTGTCATAGACAGCAATACAATTCCTCCTTCAGTTAACAGGAAAAATTCTCATAGCCATCCAGCGTCATTTGCTGGGGCTTGCGGAAGTTGCATTGGTAAACTTGCGGCAGTAAAGACAGTTCTTGTCATGCCTCAGAGCATAATACAGTACCATCATTGGGTCCAACCCATCCTGCAGCTATAGCAAACAATACACCATCAACAGGAAAAGAACAGAAAAGACGACATGTTGTCCTGATGATAACCAGGAAGTTGGACCAAATTAAGCACCTTGAAAGAGGAGAAAAGAGACGCCAATGGATGCATAAGTTTAGCATTGGCTCATTGATCTACGATATTAGGGTGCAGAAGGCAGATCTGAAGAAATTTGTGTCAAATGAGGAGACAAGCAAAGCAATTGAGAAATGCCATATTTTGAATAAATCAAAATTGGAGCAACTAGACAATGTGCTCTATGAATTGTTTTCTTTAAAGCATTCTGAGAGAGCTTTAATTTCTGGCCCAATGTTGATCAAAAAAATCCAAGGACTTTCATCGGCGGATGGAAATGATCGAGACTTGCATTTTTTCTGATAGTTGACTGGCATTCTTTAACATGTGACATGTTATCAAAAGGCTTGATGTCTCTGGAGAGAAAAAGTCTGCTGATCATGAGGCCACAGAAAGATATTGTACATTTTAAGAGGTTGATTGGGGAGCATGGCATAACACCAGAGATCATCTATAATGCTGATGAAATGGGATTCTTTTGGCATTGTTTGCCATCTTCAACCCTTGCTGGCGCAGATGAGGTTGGTGCACCTGGAATCAAAAGGAACAAGGACCACATCACTTTGCATGTGTGCACAAATGCTGCTAGCACATAAAAAAAAATCAAGTTGCTAATGGTATCAAAAATTAAGCGGCCAATAACATTCAAGGGTACTGTATTATCCATCTGCCAATGGAGTAAAAGGCTCAGGGTAATATGTTGATGAACAAGGAAATATTTTTGTATTGGTTCCACCATATCTTTGTTCTTTTTGTAAAAGACCAAGAGAAAGAACTTGGGCTACATCCGCACTATAGAGCTATTTTGGGATACCTTCAGTATCCCAAAATAGTTATTCTGCATCTTAAGAGCAAGCCCGTTATATTTTGATATTCTGATGTCCCTGTAAACCTCATTGCATGAGGGTTAAGGGATGTTTTAGATGCTTTACTTCAAAATTACCTCAAAATAAGCTACGCAATTTGTGTAGTGCAAATTGCATAGCTTATTTCGAGGTAAAGGTGCTGTGTAGACACATCCGTGGATTGCGAGAAGACACAAAGGTTATTCTGGTTTTAGATAACTTTTGAGCTCATTATTCTGAAGTACAGCTTATGTCCGGCAATATGTTCACTATCTTCTTGCCTGCAGATGCCTTCAGCCAATGGATCAGGGCACTATTCAAAGCCTAAAAGTCATCTACAGAGCAGATTTTATGAGGAAGCTCATCAACTTCAAAGGAACAATCCAAGCATCAAGGTTGCAGTCTCCAATGAAACATGCCTGGCCTGCTGTCAAGCCTACTGTAGTAGTTCAGGACAGTGATACAGTAAATTCAGGATTCACTGGTGTGGCATCCTGGCAGGTCTCCTGCTCTGTCAGTGATGATACACATTTGGCTGTGTGTATTTTTATATGCTCCCTCAGTATATTATGCCAGCTCTGTGCAGATAGATAGCATAATAGAATTCACAAGAGCCCCCAAAGATCACAGAATTCTCCAAAAATAAATAAAATAAATACATACATAAATAAACAAACCAAACCTAAAAATAAAAGGGTAAGCCTAAATTTAAAAAACTATGTATGCACAGTATTAAAATCTAAAAGCAAATACAAAATGGAGTCTGCTTATATGCATAATACTTTTAATTCATCCAAGCCCCAAAAATATAATTAAATTAAAATATGTTTTAAAAATTCACACACCCTCCCAAACTTCAAAAATAAAATTTCTAAATAAAAGGCTTAATATAACACAATATTTAAACAGCCATTTGTAAAGTATTTTAAATAAGTAAAGCAGGAAAATAAGAAACTGGAAAAAACTGTTAAAAATCTGCAGAGCAGCTTCCAAGTGCTCAACAACCTGGCTACGTCTACACTGGCCCCTTTTCCGGAAGGGGCATGGTAATTTTTGAGATCGTAATAGGGAAATCCGCGGGGGATCTGGAGTACTTAAAATATCACATGCATTATATCTTCAACATACACTCATTTCAAACATTTTCAGTCGTTCTACATGAGAAACTTCTACTATCCAAAATGGAGTTAGCACTGAAATTCTAGTTCCAGGTACTTAGTCACTGTCTTACATCAACTCAGTGGTTTGACTCTTTAAAACCTGGCAGAATTTTTTTTTTTTTTTTTTTTTTTTTAATTTATTTACTCTTATTTGTCTTGTACTCTTAAGACACTATACAAGGGACAAACGAAGATGCTAAACTTCATTTCTTTGGCCTTGACCCTCATACAATTGTGGCTGCAATGCAGTGCAGTGGACCCTGTCTCATCTTTTAAATTTGCCAGGGCCACTTTTTTACATGTTTGTTTCCCTTTTTCAGGCACTGTGAAAGTGGTAGCAGTCTGTTGTTTAACTACAGGGGATGGTGCACTTTAAAAAAAAATGTTTTTTAACCACTTTTTCTAATTTCTTATTTTCTTGCTTTACTTGTTTTCAAGGGCGCCATTTTGGGCATGTAGAGGGGGCAGCAGCCGTGCGCTCTGGGACACGACTTATAGATGCTAAGGGAGTGAGGGGAAAGTGCTTGCATTCCATGCATGCTTCTCACACCTGGCTGGTGAGCTCCCTTCACACCAGCTAGGTGTGAGAGGAATGCATGGAATGCACTTACTTTCCCCTCACTCCCTTGGCGTCTGGGGAACAGGATGAAAAGGAAGCTGCATCCTGGAGTACCCGGCTGCTGCCCTCGCCCCACACGCCTGAAATGGCACCCTTGCTTGTTTGAACAAATTATATGCCAGGACGGCCTGTTGCCCTGCCAGCAGAGCAGCTTTCCAGTGCTCAACGGCCTGTGTTGCTTCCTCTATTTCTTTTTTAATTTATTTGGGAAGCTAGTATAGTGGAAAGCTGTTTAAGCCATTTTACTTCCATAGATATTTGCAAAGTTTTAGCTCTTTTACTTTTATTACTATTTTTTTAGAGCTTCAGTTTCTACCATTGCTTTACAAATGCCAGTCCATTCCCCCACTTTTTAAAATTCAAATGGACCCCCTTTACTGGCAATCCAGTGGGTCCATGCTTTATCAAACTCTGTGGGGATTTTCAGGGAAGAAAAAGATGGTTCCCTAACTCATGTTTTTCTGCCATGTTAGATCATGATTCCTACAGTGGACAGCTGGCTTTCTTACCAGATCAGCAGTCGAGGTCACCAATGTAGTAGTTCAGGACAGCGATACAATAAATGCAAGATTCACTGGTTTGGCGTCCTGTCAGGTCTTCTGCTCTGTCAGTGATGATGCACATTTGGCTGCATGCGTTTTCATACACTCCCTCAGTATATATGCCAGCTCTGCGCAGATAGCTAGCATAATAGACTCCACGAGAGCCCCCAAAGATGAAAGATTCGGATAAGATACGAAGCGCCCAAGTCAGGTTTATTGTTGAATGAAGAACATATATAGGCAGGGGATGAAAAACCACAGCGAAATCCACTCACCAGTTCTGCAACGCGCTTGCGCCAGACCCACATTGCGCATGTGCGTGCCGTCGGTGAACAGGGTGACCGGCTGGAATCTACTCGCCCCGGGTGAATAGATACACTGATTTGTCAAGCCCTGTTAATAGGTACCAGTAGCCAGATGGCTTTGGGTCCCTACGTATTTGTACCCAAAACAATGGACACGGCTCATTTGATAGTATGGATTTCAATATCATCCCCTAGGCCAGCCAAAGAATTAAGTCAAATTACCCCAATATTTATAGACAGAATTGAACAATCTATGATACACACCATACA